TTAGGGTTAGGTTTAGGGTTAGGTTAAGGGTTAGGATTAGGGTTAGGTTTAGGATTAGGTTTAGGTTTGTTAGGTTTAGGTTTAGGGGTTAATTTTAGGTTTAGCATTTACAGCGTGCTTCTGTCTCCGCCCTGTTGTCGCCCTGTTGATGACGTCAGCTACGCGGTTTCATTGAGCGCGGTTTCGTTGAGTGCGGTTTTGTGGTGGAACCTGATGAATTAACGGAGTAGTGTTAATGTATTAATCAAATAAAAGCAGCAGGACTTGATTAAAGGGGATTCAGCATGGCAGGTAGAATCTCAAGCCCTGTTAAACATGGCCGGTTGCCCAAGAAGGTGTGTCGCTTCCTTATCTCTGATCATTTCATTGACTGACATCTGAGACACATTTGTTTCAAAATAAATTACCCAAAGGCCTAGCAAAGAGGCCTTTGTACATGCACAATTCCAGCAAATGGGTTTCATTTAAAAATGGTGCATAGAAGGCTGCTATTTTTTATTTATTTGTTTCTCTTCCCACCTTAATTATTTTTGCAAGTAACTCACGGTGGCAAGCATATACGATACTCCTCCTTCCTCCTATTTCCCCTGCAACAACAACCCTGCAAGATGGGTTGGGCTGAGAGAGAATGATTGGCTCAAATTCACCCACTTGACTTTCATGCCTAAGGCGAGACTAGAATTCACTGTCTCCTGATGATTGGTTCAAAGTCACCCAGCCGGCTTTCATGCCTAAGGCAAGACTAGAAGTCACTCTCTCCTGGTGATGGGCCCAAAGTCAACCAGCTGGCTTTCATGCCTGAAGCGGGACTAGAACTCATAGCCTTCCACTTTCTAGCCAAATGCCTTAACCACAGCTACCATAGTATCAGAATAACATCATATCCACCCCCTAACACCCCCTTTTGGAGTCTGGAGTCAAGGAGAGGATGCTTCTAGCAAGTGGTACAGGTAGTCCTCAAATTACCACAGGTAGTCCTCAAATTACCACTATAATTGAGCCCAATATTTGTGTTGCTAAGTGAGAATTTTGTTAAATGAGTTTTGCTTGCCACTTTTCTTGCCGCTATCGTTAAGTGAATCATTTCAGTTGTTAAATTAGTAACACAGTTGTTAAGAGAACCTGGTTTCCCCATTGATTTTGCCTGTCAGAAGAGGATCGCATGGCCCCATGACACTGCATAAATGCAAGTCAGCTGCCAAGCATCCGAATGTAAATCACATGACCATGGGGATGCTGTAGTGATAACAAGTGTGAAAAATGATCATAGGTCACTTTTTCAGTGCCGTTGTAACTTTGAATGGTTTGTAAGTTGAGGACTACCTGTATTATCAAGCCCCCACTTAGCTGAACAAACGCAAGAACCTGCCAGCTTTCACACCTGAAATCCCATTTTGTTCCTTGCTTTTTCCATTCTTACGTTTGAGGGCAAAAAATTGAGCCCTACAAGTAGACCTAGTCTAAGAAACCAATGCCATGTAGGTCAGGGGTCATGAGATGGGAGGTTTAAAAACAGGAAATACATTAGATTTAGACTATCCAGCTTCTTTTAGCCTGGAGACTAAACCAGAAATCTTGTATTATGTAGTCTTAACATAAAAGTACCAGTGTATTGTCAAGCCTCAGGTGTGCCGCAAAAGGCCTGATGCTGATTGATGAAACACAGGCACAGCGATGGTTGCAATTGTTTTACCTTCCAATACACAACATTGTTTTTTTTCCTTTTTCACGTAGAAAAAAGCACCGAGAAAGAACTGATCGAACCCATCCTGGATATTGAAGACCTTGTTAAAAATGGAAACAAACACAGGTCATTTCTTCTTAAACTCTGTCTCGCTTCCTTGGAGATATAGCTCAGCAACCGCAGGGCTTCTTCGTATTCAGCTGAAGTGGCGAAAGGGAAACCAGAATTACCAACATAATTTACAGAAC